GAGGCTGCTTCTGTCTGCAGTGGTGGTGGCATGAGGAGGCTCTACCATGGCTGTGTTTCTGCCTGGCTTTGGCTCTGGTAACAGTCCTGGGTTTTGAGTTTTCACACAGAGCTCTGGCTTAGCACAGTCACAGCCTTAAGCATCAGGTCAAAGTTCTAGCAAGTTCCACCACGTGCTGGTACTCTAGGGAGCACCTTGGCAGGGGTTTGATCAACAGACCACGAGGTGCACATGCTGGTGAATCCTGGACACAGGTCTGCTGGGGCCTAGGCTCTTGCAGACACTCAGCTTAGTACCCTGGAGGAGGCTTTGTACCCTGGGCTGGAAGTAGCTTCTGAAGCTTGGAACTCTGGCATCACTCTGGGGAGGGCACTGTACCACACTTCCCTGTAGGACTTGAGCCCTGTATTTCACCCACCAGCACCCACACCTCCCTGCAGCACCTGCCAAAGGATCCCAGCACCCTGCCCTGCAGGGATTGTTGGATAGAACCTGATCTCTGTCCATCACCTTGGCAGAGACACCAGAACTGTGCCTGACCAGACACTCTTGTCACGTGCTGTGCTCCAGAGGTGCTGCCCAAGGGGCTGCTCCTCAAAGGACCCCAGCATGGAGGATGTTCACATGCTCTGCAGCATGCTAGGGGATGCTCCACCTCCTGGGTCCTGGGAAGATGCCCTGCCAAGGAAGAGCAGAGCTCTCTGGCCCTTATCCCAAGCTCCAGAGGATACTGGTGTTTTGATCTGGCATTCAGAGGTCCTGCTGCTCGTGGGGACACTGAGACCACACAGCAGTGCTGCAAACACTAGTACACTGCCAATCTCCACAATGACATGGCTCTGCAAGGTCATTAGCACCCTGCAGGACCCTCCAGAAGCTGCTGCTGGGGTCCCTCACTCTGCAGTGCACCCTGTCCCTCAGCACTGATCTGAGAGTCACCTACTTGCAAAACTGTGCTACACATGGCGGGATCATAGAATCATGGACTGGTTTGGGTTGGAAGGGACCTTCAAGATCATCCAGTCCCACCCCCCTGCATGGGCAGGGACACCTCCCAGCAGCCCAGGCTGCTCCAAGCCCCATCCAACCTGCCCTTCAACACTGCCAGGGATGGGGCAGCCACAGCTTCCCTGGGCAATCTGGGCCAGGCTCTCACCACCCTCACAATGAAGAATTTATACCTGATCTCTAACCTAAATCTCTCTTCTTTCATCTTGAAATCATTACCCCTTGTCCTCTCACTGCAAGGCCCTGCAAAAAGACCCTCTCTAGCTTTCCTGGAGCCTCTTCAGGTCCTGGAAGGTCACTGTGAGGTCCCTCTTCTCTGTTTCAGACTAAACAACCCCAGCTCCCTCAGCCTGTCCTCATCCCAGATGAGATGTCCTCAGATCATTTTCATGGCCCTTCTCTGGACACGTTCAAACAGCTCCACATCTTCCTTGTGCTGGGGGCACTGCTGGATGCAGTGTTCTAGGGGAGGTCTCTCCAGGGCAGAGCAGAGGGGCAGAATCACCTCTTGACCTGCTGGCCACACTTCTGGTGATACAGCCCAGGATGTGCTTGGCTTTCTGGGCTGCAGCTGCACATTGGTGGCTCATGTCCAGCTTTTGATCCATTAGGACCCCCAGGTCCTTTTCCACAGGGCTGTTCTCCAGTGTGACCTCCCCCAACCTGTGTTCACAGCTGGGGTTACCTCTGCCCAGATGCAGGACCCTGCACTTGGCCTTGTTGAACCTCATGAGGGTCACCTGGGCCCACTTCTCCAGCTTGTCCAGGTCCCTCTGGAGGGTTCACCTGGGCCCACTTCTCCAGCTTGCCCAGGTCCCTCTGGATGGCATCCCATTCACCTGGTGTATTGACCACACCACCCACCTTGGTGTCGTCAGCAAATTGCTGAGGGGGCTCTCAATGCCACCACCAATATGGTTAGTGAAGATATGAAACACTGGGCCCAGCACTGACCCCTGAGGGGCACCACTTGTCACTGTTTTCCACCTGGACTCAGAGCCATTGACCACCACCCTCTGGGCACGACCATCCAGCCAGTTCCTCACCCACTGAACAGTCCACCCATCAAACCCGTATCCCCCCAATTTAGTGAGAAGGCTGTTGTGGGGGGCCGTGTCAAAGGCCTTGCAGAAGTCCAGGCAGGTGACACCCACTGCTTCTCCCTGGTCAACAGATCTAGTCACTTTGTTGTAGAAAGCCACTAGGTTGGCCAGGCAATGCCCCTGTCCTGGATCACCTCCTTGTCCTCCAGGTGCCTTAGCAAGTCCTCTAGGAGGATCTGTTCCATGATCTTCCCATGCACAGGGGTGGGGCTGATAGGTCAGTAATTCCCAGGGTCTTCCTTTCTACCCTTTTTCAATATGGGTGTAACATCTGCTTTCTTCCAGTCACCAGGGACTTCACCCGACTGCCAGGACTTCTCAAACATCATGGACACTGGTTTGGCAACTACACTCCCCAGTTCCTTGAGGACTCTGGGATGTACCTCATCATGTCCCGTGGGCTTGTATATCTCAGGTTCCTCAGGTGGTCACCAACCTTACCTTCCCTTGCAGTGGGGGGCACTTTGTCTCTCTGCTCGGCATCCTGTGGGCCAGCAAGATGGGAGCTGTGAGGAGAGGGGTTGCCAGTGAAGGCTGAGGCAAAAACGTTGCTGAGACTCTCCACGCTCCAGCAAATCTTGGCACAACCCACTGCAGCACCTGGGGTGACACCAGCACCTTTTTGGACCCCAGTGAAGGCCCCAGGGCACCCTGGCATATCCCAGAGGGTTTCTGCATTCTCCTCCATGCTCCGCTCTGCCGGGGCACGAGGGAAAGGCCGAGACACGGGTGGGAGAGGGAGCAGGGAGGGTGGGTGCGGGGCCGGGTGCTGACTCGGCGGTGCCACCGAGCAGCAGGCACGGGGAGGGAGGTGCCAGGCAGGGAGGGAACCTGCCGGTTTCGGGCCGGGGGCTGGCGAGGGGCCAGCACCTGCCGAGACAGGCAGCCCTGTGGGAAGCAGGGAGTGTCTCGGTGCCCCCACCCTGGGCGCTGCCGCCCCGCGGGGCCGGGCAGAGCAGCAGGGCACTGGGCACCAGCCTCTGCCTGCTGGAAGGGTTTGCAGGGCAAACCTCCAGAGCCTGGGAACAGGGGATGGCTTTTCCCAAGCCAGATCTCTCTGCCTTGAGTGCTCCTCTCTCCCAGGGGAGACGTGAGGCTGGGTGAGAATGTGACTTGCTGGACCTTCACTCAACCTCCCCTTGGGTATTTCATGCCCCAGTGCTTCCCTTTTGTCATACAGAATCTTTTGGGTTGGAAAAGGCCTTTAAGAACATCAAGTCCAACCAGCCCTGCCAAGTTCACCACTGCCCCATGTCCCTCAGCACCACATCTACAGGGCTTTGAAGCCCCTCCAGGGATGGGGACTCCCCCCCTGCCCTGGGCAGCCTGGGCCAGGGTCTGACAACCCTTTCCATGGAGAAGCTGTTCCCAAAATCCAACCTAAGCCTTCCCTGGCACAACCTGAGACCATTTCCTCTTGTTCTACCCCTTGTTCCATGGGAGACAAGACCAAACCCCCTGGTTCCAACCTCTTCTCAGGCAGCTGCAGAGCCAGAAGGTCTCCCCTCAGCCTCCTTTGCTCCAGGCTGGACACCCCCAGCTCCCTCAGCTGCTCCTCATCAGACTCGTGCTCCAGACCCTTCCCCAGCCCTGTTGCCCTTCATTGTCCCAATAAGGGGTCAGGTACATCCCTCCACACTCCATCTTTGAGGAGACTGGTGGTAGGCAGCTGGTTTCCCCCACCTGCTGTCTCACTGAAGCTGAGGCTTCTCAGAGCCTTGTCCCCCCAGACCCAATGGAGTGTGTTGAAACCAGCCAAACAAGTTGCCATTCAACTGGCAGCACAAGGGAGAAACCTGTGGGATGCCCTCACATCATCAGGTTTGGAACAGGGAGGACAGGCAGCCCAGGCAAAAGTGGAGACAAAATGTCTTTCCAAGAGACAAGAAGCCTTTGAAGATCCCCCATCCTGTGCATCCATCCCTTCCCCACTGCTCTAGGAAATGCCTCACCATGAGACCACTTGCCCCATTAAATGGACATGCAAGGCTAGTGTGTTCTGCTGGCTGGTGGTCCCAACCCATGCACCAGGAACACTTGGGATTATGCAGCTGATATGCACCCATGGGCGTTGCATGTGGGAACGTGCTACAAGGATGTCTACAACTGAATGGGAGAGATCTGCAGGCTTGAAAGGACAGAGAAATGGTCCCTACACTGATTCATCTCCAGTCATTGTTGCAAGCTCTCAGAAACACACAGAGGAGGTAAACACAGTTGGTCTGGGTCCTTGAAGAAGAGGTAAAAATAGGAAATAAAATGGCCTGAAAGCAAAGTTTGTGGATAATCCATGGATCAAGAGGCTTGGGAGCAGTGCCTCTATCCATGCTGTCCTTCAAGGCTAACCCTGGTTACACAGAGAGGAGTGAGGGGGCTTCTGGTGCAGCAAAAGCAGAAACTCAAGTGGCCATAACCAGGATTACCCCAAACTGCAGCAGGTCAGACCCCTGAGGTCTGTTATAAAACTTCCCAAGGGCTGCAGGGTGAGATGCTGTGAGTCAAGGGGACGTGTTATTTAGGAGGTCCTGGATGGTTGCTGCAAACTCTTGCATCCCAGGGAACAGGTCTGCAGCTGTGCTTGCTCAGCCAAGCTCTGCTGAGACTGCCCTGTCCTCTGGGCTCAGGATGGAGACAACACCCTCAATCCCTCACCGTTCTCTTTATTTACAGACACAACATCAGTTGGGGGTGTGGAGATGAGAAACAGCACCTCGTGAAGCATCTGCCCACCCAGACAGCACAGGGTCTGCAGCAAGGTCTGTGCAAAGCCCCGTGTGGTGGGAGGGTGGTGGGCGTGTGGTGCAGGCTCCACGACCTGGGGAAGCCAACTGCTTGGCCAAAAGGCCACGCACCTCTCCATGGCTGAGCCTCCTTCACCTCCTGAGTCACCTATTTCCACCGTCCACCCACCACGGTCTTTCCACGGGCAGCCTTTGGCCTGGAAGCAAAGCAGAAAAGCACATGTTAAAAGGCTTGAGTGACCCTGAAAGGGGAGGACAAGGTGGGTGCCATCAGTGGTTCTGCAAAGAGGACGGAGCCATTTCTGGCTGATGCTCATTGCCCCGTGGGGTAGAAGGTCTTCAGTAGCAACCTGGTCTACTGGGAGGTGTCCCTGCCCATCCAGGGGGGTTAGAACTAGATGATCTATAAGGTCCCTTCCTACACAAACTGTTCCATGATTCTCTGGGAGGCTCCAGGCAACACCTCAGAACCTGAGTGATTTGGGACTCAAATGGGAACCAGCTCATGCATTTTTGCCAGGTCTTTCTAAGCGCTCTTCCCATGTTTCTCCCTCCTTTCAGAAAAGAACCAACAGGTTGGATCTGTGGTCGGGGAGGGATAACAATGGCTGCAGGATCCTTCTTCCATGAACCAGAAGCTGTGCAGTTGTTAGGCAAGACCCACCACATCACTCTCCTTAACCCACATCAGGGGAACAGACACTGCTCTGAGTGTGGGTCAGCAGAGAGGAGGAGGCTCAGGTGGACAGTGAAGGGCATTTCTGGCCTATCATCCTAAGGGCCACCAGCACAGCTTTGGCTGCCAATCCTTGGCCTCAGCCCCACTGCCACCCCGCACAGCACACGTGTGGTAGGAGACACACAGCACCCAGGAAATGCCCCTACTCACCCTTTGCTGTCATTCCAGGCCATGGTGGTGCAGGAGAGAAGAGAGATTGGGTGTAAGCAGGTAGAGATGCTGCTCCCTGACACACAGGGCAGGCTGAGCACCTCTTGTGTGAGATGGTGGGGCCAGATGGGGATGAAAGAGCAGCATAGTGCTCCCCAGGGTGGGGGTGGAACACCCACCTCCACCCTCCTACAAAGGGTTCCCCAGTCCTGTGCAGAGAACACGGGCACAGGGACAGGCTCTCCTGACCTTGCAGGGGATGCCCAGCTCCTACAGCCCATGGGAATTCCCATCCTGCACAGTCTGGGATCTCAAGCACCTTCCCCTGAGGTGCTGCAAAGAGTCCCTGCAGGGATGGGGGTGGTTGGATGCTGGCAGGACCCCCCAGGACACACAACTCCATCTACAGAGGTGGAGTGTCCCTGGGGTCCATCCCTGGCTGGGGTCTCTGGAGCAGAGGAAAGCTGATGGAGGTGGGAGGTAGTGGGGGGTCCCTGGACCTGACTTGCTGGTCCATGAACACCAGGTACCACTGGGACCAGAGGAAGGAGTGGGAAGGATGAGAGGTAGCTCTGCAAGGGTTCAAGAGACCCTGGAGATACAAAGGGAGGGAAGTGGGGCCAGGGGCAGGAAGGGCAGGAGGTGCTGAGCAGGGCTGCTCAGCCTGCCTGGGCACTTACACTTTCTGGTGGTCACTAACGCGGTTCCGGAGGACGTTGATCTGCAAGGGAAGCACAGGCAGGTGGGGAGGTCTGGCAAGATGCCCCACCCCTGACCAGGGACAAGGGTGAGGGTGAAGATCCATCCCTGCTCTCCCTTCTCCAGCTACCCATGGTGGGATTTAGCACTGGGCTGTGATGGGCAGTGCACTAGGGAGCCCATTGTGGTGCAAAGCACATGTCCCCAGGAACTAGGAGGTCACAGGGCCACCACACAGCCCGTGGCACCGGCTGCCACAGCCTCCAGCACTTCCCAGCTGTGTGCCCACCCTTGCCCAGGTGGCTGGAAACCACTGGGGGGGTTGGGTTGATGCTGGCTCATCTCTAAAAGGGAGACAGACATGGCTTTGCTTTCAGTGGGGTGGAGGATCTTGGGTGTTTGTCACCCCAGGCACAAGGGGGGACACAGTCTTGTCCTGACAGCACCATCAATCACACAATCCACCTCAGGTCCTAACTGGGCAGCAGAAGGAGCAGCCAAGCACACGGAGGGAGAGCAAGGCCATGACATGGAGAACCTCCCGGCTCACCTCGTATTTCTGCCGCTTGAACTTTTCCTGCAGGTCAAATTTCTCAGCCTCCAGATCCCGGATGGTTTGCCACAGCTCCCTGGCCTTGTCCCTGTGGGAAGAGCCAGCTGATGTCAGTGCAGAGAAGGGATGTGGCTCTCGGGGAGCTCCCTGCAGGGACTGGGCAGTGATGCCACCATCATCATGCTCCCCCAGGACAGGTCTCTGCAGGCTCCGTGCCCAGACCAGGACATAGTAGCCAGTCCCACGTGTGGACCAGAACCCCCGATGGGGATGGATGGGGACACGCACGCCCCACGCGTGTGAGCAGGGCTCCCTCTGATGGCCAGCGCTACCAGCAGCAGGGCTGGCCCTCGAGTCCCAGAGCCCATGTCCCCCCGGGCTGTCACAGCCCCTCTCCCAGCCCTGCCACCACCCTCTGCTCTGGGCTGAAAGCCCCGGGCAGCCCAGCCCGGCCCAGGATCCTGTACTGGGAGGTGGGACCCAAAGCAGAGCCCCTATCCTGAGCATCCCTCCTGCAGCCTGTGCTCACCTCAGCTTGTCCTCGTTGAGGTGGTCAATGTTCAGGGGCTTCCGCCGCTCGCTGAGGATCTTCTTCTTCTTCTCCCGCTCTGTTTGCTTCTTCCCGCCCTTCTTCTCTGACTGAGGAAACCACCAGCCCATTGGAGGGAAGAAAATCTGCTCTACCCCTGTCCCCAGTTCTGCCCCCAACACCCTCAGCTTTTGGGACTTCAGAAGCTCCTCAAGGATATTGTGGCAATAGTGGACAAGACACACTGCCCCATCCCCACCCCTGTGCCAAGGCTGGATCTGGCCTCGCCAGCATCTGCCAAGCAGAGCTCCCAGCTCACTTTGGCCCTCTGACCAAAGTGAGAGCTGTGACCCACCAGCAGCAGCCAGTCTTCTTCTGCTTGTAGAAACCACAGCCCACCAGTTCTGAGAACGTGTAGGGTGCTGAGAGGCCAGCCCATGGCTGAGCCCTTCCCTGGAGCATCAGTGGTTTCCCTGCAGCTGCCCAGGGTGGGATCCTACCTTCTGCATGTAGCCTCCGAAATGCAGCATGTTGGAGAAAGCTTTCTTCTTCCGTGCCTCCTCCTCAGCCTTCTTCCGTGCCTCCTCCTCCTCCTTGCGAGCTCGTTCTTCCTGCCAGGGTCAGAAGCGGGTCAGGAGTGGGTGGACAGAGGCCTCACGGACCAGCCTGTGTGCAGCACACAGCTCACGCTCCCTTGTGCTCCGTGGCTTGGCGTGTGGTGCCCAGGACCACCCGAACCCAGAAGACTCACGGCCATGCGGGCTTGACGCTCCTTCTCCCTCTCGCTGCGGATCCGCTGCTGCTCTGCCCGCTCTGCTCGCCGCTTCTCCTGCGGAAGGAGAGCACCTTGGCTTGGACACCCCAGGGAATCTGGATCCTCTCTGTCCTCGGGAACACATCCCGGACCCCAAAAGACCTGAGAGCACTAAGGGCAAATCTCCCGCATCACCCAAGGGAGCGTGTGGGCTTGTGAGCATGGAGGAAGGTGCAGCTCTGCTGGGGACTGCAGCACCACAGCAGCCAGAGCAGGGGATTCCCAGGCACTGGGGTACAAATCTGGCTCAAATCTCAGGCTCTGTCTTGTAAGGACATGGGATGAAGCAGAGGAAGGTGGTTGTGTGCCCACAGGGCAGAGGGTGGCAACAGCAACAGCGGCGGAGGCTGCAGACGTACAATCCTGTCCTTGAGAGAGATGAGCTCCTCCTCCTCCTTCTTCCTGCTCTCAAAGTGAGCTTCGATCAGGGCCTGCAGCTCATTCAAGTCCTTCTCCATGCGCTTGCGGTGGATGTCCTGCACCAGGCAGAAACAGGGCTGATGGCTGCTCTCCCACAGGGGAAACCCTCCAGGAGCTGCTGGGCACGGTGTGGAGCAGCAACGTGAGGGGTCACCTCACGGGGGCTGCCAATACATGGGCTACTTACATCATTGACGCTCCTTCTCCCTCTCGCTGCGGATCCGCTGCTGCTCTGCCCGCTCTGCTCGCCGCTTCTCCTGTGGAAGGAGAGCACCTTGGCTTGGACACCCCAGGGAATCTGGATCCTCTCTGTCCTCGGGAACACATCCCGGACCCCAAAAGACCTGAGAGCACTAAGGGCAAATCTCCCGCATCACCCAAGGGAGCGTGTGGGCTTGTGAGCATGGAGGAAGGTGCAGCTCTGCTGGGGACTGCAGCACCACAGCAGCCAGAGCAGGGGATTCCCAGGCACTGGGGTACAAATCTGGCTCAAATCTCAGGCTCTGTCTTGTAAGGACATGGGATGAAGCAGAGGAAGGTGGTTGTGTGCCCACAGGGCAGAGGGTGGCAACAGCAACAGCGGCGGAGGCTGCAGACGTACAATCCTGTCCTTGAGAGAGATGAGCTCCTCCTCCTCCTTCTTCCTGCTCTCAAAGTGAGCTTCGATCAGGGCCTGCAGCTCATTCAAGTCCTTCTCCATGCGCTTGCGGTGGATGTCCTGCACCAGGCAGAAACAGGGCTGATGGCTGCTCTCCCACAGGGGAAGCCCTCCAGGAGCTGCTGGGCACGGTGTGGAGCAGCAACGTGAGGGGTCACCTCACAGGGGCTGCCATTCCATGTGCTACTTACATCAAAATCCAGTCTCTCACCATCTGGGATTTTGGGAGGCACCAAGTTTGGCATGAAGACCCTGCAAGGGAAGGTGAGCAGGAGGATGGTGAGGCTGCAGCAGGTACCTGGGACATGACCTGATGTATCCAGCCCCCCACTCTGAGCCTCCCAGTCCCCAGTCCCAGTGAGCACATTTTGAGGACAGGGAAGTGTAATGCTGCTTGCTGGAGGTTGCCAGCTGGACAGCTTCAGAGGAAGACCTCTGGCATTCCACAGGGTGCCCACATGGCTGGAATAGCTCTGCAAGCTGCAGCCACGAGCCTTTGCCAGGCACCCTGGGGCTGGCAGCCACCCCACTGCTCCCCCAAAACAGCACAGAGGAACAATCTGCTCCCGTGTGATCCAGCACAGGGAGCTGGAAACCATCCTCTCACCCTCAGAGGGCTTGAGGGAGGGCAGGAGATGCTCACAGAGCCCCATAAAGACACCAAGGGATGAAGAGATCATAGCTGAGGACAGATCTGCCTCCTCCACTGCAGCATCCCAGGGTCCTTGAGGATCCATAGGTTCCTGGCTGTGGTTCCTGGCTCAGCTCCCTCAGGCAGGTGCTCATGTCCCCAGGATGCTGGCACTGGTGCACGTGTCCCATGGCAGATTGAACTGCAGAGACGAGGCCCTGGTTGGGCCATGGACTGTGTCCCCCAGCCTGGCTGCACACAGATGGTTTCCAGCTGCAGGGCCACAGGGCAGCTGGGCTTCCCCCAGGAGGGCACAAAATGCTCCAAACCTGCCCTGACCTCATTCTCAGGACCCCCTTCATCTTCCCTGTTTATCTGCTTGTTTCCTTTGTCTCTGCATGTTCCAGTCCCACTCTGTGCTCATGCTTTGAGGCTTCACTGTCCCACACCCTTCACAGATCATGGTGCTCAGCCCCTCACATGGACCCCTTGTCCTGGCACAGCTCCTGGGTCAGACCTTGCACCAAAGGAAATGCACTGACACTTACTTGGGTCTTGGCTTCGATTCACCTGCAGGTCCCCAGGAGCAGGAGAGAAAGGCAACGTTAGTGTCCCAGAGGAGTTTGCTTTCATACCATGACCCAGAGCCCTGGCCCAGCAGCTCAAACTGAGCTGTGGGTCACAGAGTCCTGGAATCATTTTGGTTGGATAAAACCTTCAAGATCACCAAGACCAACCACTAACTCAGCCCTGCCAAGGCCACCACTAACCCATGTCCCTCAGCACCACATCTACATGGCTTGGAAACCCCTCCAGGGATGGGGACTCTGCCCTGGGCAGCCTGGGCCAGGGCCTGACAGCCCTTGCCAGGATTCTCAAGATCCAGTCTCAACCTCCCCTGGCACAACTTGAGGCCATTTCCTCTTGTCCCATCCCTTGATCCTTGGGAGACAAGACCAACCCCCCTGGCTCCAACCTCCTCTTAGGCAGCTGCAGAGCCAGCAGGTCTCCCCTCAGCCTCCTTTGCTCCAGGCTCAACACCCCCAGCTCCCTCAGCTGCTCCTGCTCACACTTGTGCTCCAGACCCTTCCCCAGCTCCACTGCCCTTCTCTGGACACGATCCTGTCCTTCTTGGAGTGAGGGGCCCAAAACTGACCCCAGGATTGGAGATGTGGCCTCCCCAGTGCTGGTACCTCCTTAGACAGTCAAAGGAACAGCCCCTCTCACCCCAGAGAGGAACAGAAATGGATACTTCACCTTCCCCAGGCTCCTGCTCTCGGTCCCCCTCTCCACCTGTGGAAAACACGATGCTTTGGCTCCCAGAGGACACATCGGGACACACCGGGGGGCTCAGGCAGGCTGGTCCCCTCTGCTTATCCCCACTGCAAACCCAAGCTCCATCCCTCCACTGTGAGCAGGTCCCTCACAGATAACCCTGGCTCACAGATTTGGAGAGATCCAGGTCCTCTCCAGGAGGAACCCAGACAAGCTTTGCATGAGCTGAGGCTGGGAAAGTGGTGGTACAACCCCCTCCTTGTGTGTTTTGGGGGAATTCCTTCCCTCAGCAGCACTAATCCATCTCTCCTGCAGACTTCCTGCTACCCCAGCCCTGCAGGAGGACAGGGCCAGGGAAGGTCTCCACCATTTACCACAGATTCTCTCTTCAGCAGCAAATGAATCCAACACCAAAAGCCCCAGTACAAGAGCCCAGGGTCTTGGGGGACTGGGATCAGGTCTGAAATGGCCAACACTGTCCTTTCCTCTGATGCTGCTTTACCTTCTCCTGGTGCTTTCGTTTCATCTTCTTGTTCTGTTTAAAACAGCAATGGGGAGAATATGAACACCCATGGGTGAGGGCAGCCACATGGCCCCAGCTCAGAGGGCTCCTGGCACCTGACCTGGGGCACACAGTGGAACCTGAGCCTTTCCCACCAGCTGTGGCAGGACAGGGACATCAGGCAATCCTGTCTGCTCCAAAAATGGCTTATGAATACCAGTGGTCTTTATCTGCTGAGACACACCAGAGCATGACCCCAGCTCTGGAAAACCCTCCTCTAGGGCTATGGGGACCTCTTGGTGGAACAGGATTCATGCATTTTTGGCATTACTTCTGAGCTGAGCACAAGCTGTTTGATCAGAACCAGCAGAGAACACCAGGATGCTCACACTTGAGGGGCCAAGGCACTGGGTAGATTAGGAAAGGACAGCTCAGTTTTGATACCTCCTTACTGGAAACCATAGATAAAGGGGAGAGCTGCCCCTCTGTGTTACTGGCCCACAGCCACCAACAATGCTGGGACATCCCAGACCCTGCTTGGCACAGCACTGGAGCCAACGTGGCTCCAGACCAGTCATGAGGAGCCACCACACACCTTCTGCCTTGGTTTCTTCAGCCTCCTCCTTGCTTTCTTCAGTCTCCTCTTCTGCCTCCTCTACCTGTTCTTCCTGACCTGTGGAATAACAGGCAGCATGAGTCCAACAGCCACCACTCCCACTGGTTCCCTACGGACCCCGGGATCAAGACAACCTTGGCACAGAGCTGGCCAAGAGAGAGAGACCCACAGGAGATGGCACCACAGGAGAAAGAAGCAGCAGCTCAGAAACCAAAGGGCTTTGCTCTAACCTTTACCTAAGGGCTGCTCTCTGTGCTGGGGCAGGGCAAAAAAAAATATAAATAAAATTAAAGGATTTATACCCAGGTCCTTGTTTGTCCCTCATTCCCTCTCATGGTCTTACGTCCCAGGATGGGAGGGAGTGATTTCTATTTCTCTCCTCCAGCCAGTGAAGAACAAAACTGTCTGGCACTAGAGAAAAGGCCTTCAGCACCTTCGCCATCTCAGTCATGACACTGTTGGAGCATTTTTCCACTGGAGGGAGCAGTATCCCCACAAGAGTCCTCCAGTGGAGTCCACAGGTCCTGGGAAGGCCAGTGGTCCCGCAGCAAGAGAGAAGGCAAGAAAAGGAAAAGAAAAAGAAGACAACAAACCACATTGGGGTGAGAGATGTAAGAGGGAAGGCACAGCTGCAGGAGCAGGTAGCACAGCAGAGCAGGAAGGGGGGAGTGCAAGAAGCAAGAGAGAGAAGGGGAAGAATGAAAGAAAACCATTTCCCAACCAAGGAGAGGAGGAAGACACCCCAACCCATGACAAATTCACAGCAGCAGTGGAGAGATGAAACAAAGAAAGGTGCAATAACTACCGTCTTCTTCCTCCATCCATTCTTCCTCTTCTGAGCCAGGAGAAGGGAAAGGAATAAGTGCAGAGATTAGTCAGATGCCATAAGGCTGTGGCCTGTAGCTACACTGTGCATGAGGTGAGGACTCAAGCACTGCAGTGGTTTCCCCCTTGTGCCTCTCCTTGCATTGGACCTTCAGGATGTTTTGCTGCAGCAGCCCAGGCTGCCTGGCACAAGGGGCTCAGCAAAACCCAACGCCCAGCCCCCAAGGCCCAGCCTTGCCATGTCCCAGAGCAGCTCTGTGCACCCTGGGCTTTGCTTCTTCAGCAGATGGAGGCAGCTGCAGGTTGGTGCTGGAGCATCACTGATACTCATTCAGCTGAAGCTCCAGCTCTCGTGGAGTTACTGGGCTGACACCTCTGCCAGCACCCAAGTCCAGCATTTCCACCCCAGTTTTGAGTCAAGGGATCACTGTGACAAAAGAGATCCAGAGAAAATTCTGACTGGTTTTGATCCTACTGATGTTTCCCATGGAGAAATCTAGAAAGTGGTCTCATCCACCTTTCCTGGTCATGATGTACCCATTGCAGTCAAGGAGCTGCCACCACAACCCACCCAAGGAAAACGCAGAACCAACAGCAGTTGTTTCTTGATTCTTGCAACTGCTGGAGAAACACTCACCTTCTTCCACATACTCCTCTTCACAGAGACACGTGCACACGGAGGAGAAGGGAGGGAAAGAAGATGCAGGTTATTGAAGTTGCTCTGATCATTTCTCAGCTTCAGCCTCAGAGCAGCTGCAGATGCTCCATGTTGTCTTACCTTCCTGCTCCCTGCAAAGCACAACACAAACGTTTGAGTTACAGTGATCTGCTGCAACAGAGCATGTGTCCAACATCAGTGAGGCCAAAGGAGAACTTGACATTTCCTCAGGGCTGGCTCCCCTTTCCCATAGCAATGGGCAAGGGCTGCTGGACTGGCTGCTGTGTGACATGTCATGAGATGGCCATGGGGACAGGACAAGACCCAGATCACCCTGCAAAGCTGCAGTTAGCAGAGGCTGAAGTGCTCAGCTGGCACTTTGACAGTGGTCAGAGCACAACAGCTTGAGAAGATCAAGTGACCATGGCTTGTAATCCTAGCAATGGGCATCTCACACCCCACCTTTGTCCCAAAGTCCTTTACTGACCTTGGGGGAGATGCACAGCCTGTCCTTGGGTCTGCCAGGGACACTGGGCACAGGCCTCATACTGCTTGTCAAGACACGTGTCTGTTGTGGCATTTAAAGCTCAGAGGATTCAGATCTACATCATCTGCTGGTGGATGAGAATTAGGAACTGTATTTGGCCTCATCTCTATGGTCTTGTATCCCAGATCGAGAGCCCCTTCTCTCCAGGGAGCATCTCATGGCCCAGGAGCCCTCACCAGCAAACCTTGCCTTCACATTTGGGCCTGGGGGGTGATGAGGGTCCTTCTGGATGTGGCAATCAGACCTCACCAGCAACAGACTGATGACATCAGCTTTTCCCAGCTCTATCTCAGGGGTTTAGCCCACAGCATCTTTGATGCAGGGACTGTCCCTTGCCATGTTTTGGCTGATAAAAAGCTCCTCACTGCTGAGGGTCTCAGCACTGTCACTGCAGACAGGCTCAGGATGGGGGGATTTGGGGCTTTGGTGGGGCAATGATGAGAGCCTGAGCCCCAAAAGGCACCTCTAAGCAATACTGTGACCCTGCGGGGCAGTGGAAACGAGGAGAAGGAAAAGGTGTTTAAAAACACACCACTTACTGCTCGTATTCTTCGACGACCTCCTCAGAGTCCGACATGCCTGGTTATCTAGCAGGATTCAAAGCAGATTGGAAAAAGTGAGGGTGAGGAGCTGAGATAAGGCCCAGCACAGCCTGTCCTGCCGTGCCCCAGACACAGCACAGAGATGCTGCACCTCTCCAAAGCTCTTAGAGCTCTGAGCTGGCCCCAGCCAGGCTGTCACAGCTTTATCTCAGTGAGATAAGGCTCCCCCCTCCCCTCCTGCCCCAGGATCACTCATCCCAAACAGGAGGCAGGAGATGAGGAGCAGCCTGATACAACAACAAGAGCTGCTGGCAGGGGCTGTGCCCAGCACTCCCAGCACCTCTCGCTGCCATCTCAGGGCACAGGAAAATAACCCAATCACCACCTGCAACTTCTTTTGCTTCCTGACTATTCTTAGCTCGGTTGCGAGAGAGAAACTTCAAGGGACATCTCATTATTGCCAATTTACAGCCCTGCACAAGCCACACGATGAGATCCTGGTGAGACCTCCCAGCCTTCCAGGTGCCCCCCAGGCTCAGGATGCAGCAGAAGGATTTCTCTCTCCTGGTCCTGAGCTTGGCTGAACAGAATGATTCACGGCCTGGTTTAACAACAGGACTAATAACTTTGGAGAAAAACCCACGCTCACCTTCCCAGCATATCCATCTCCCTACCAGCCATGGCCAGGAGGACTTTATTCATCATCCCACCTCATCTAGTGCCCACCCGATGCTCCATCACACGGTCTGCACAGACCAGCCCCATGATCAGCCCAGGATCAGCCCTGAGCATCAGCCCCAGGCCCTGCACAGCCTGTCCACTGGTCCCGTTCATGCCAGACCTCAGCAAAGCTGGGATGCTGCAGGAGAAGGCAAGGCAGCCCTAGAAATAACCTCCATGTGCTAAGCCACCTGTTCCCAGGGCAGCGCTGCTTCCTTCTCCTGCCCAGCGTCTGGGAACAACTGCTCCCGGCTACATCTGTTAGACATTTATTACTCAGGATGGGTAGGACAGGCCTGGGAATCACTTATGCAAGATGCTGAATCCAGAACTGGAACCCACAGGCATGGGAAGGCACATTCCAGGAGGGATGCATCAACGTACCCATGGCTCGCACGGGTCTGTCAAATCTCACTTCTGAGCAATGACTCAGAAAGTGCTTTTTGGAGACAAATTCAGTCAGAACTCAGCCCTGTCTGCCTTGGGTTCACCGCCTGTTCTGCTGTCATGTTGCCTTCCCTCTGATGAAGCTGGGGCTTGGCCCTAAGCACCCCCCTCCAACACCATCCCCTCCATCTCCACTCCCCCTCAAGCATCAGTTCCTGGTCCTGCTTTTCCTCCAGGCTCAGCACGGTTCTGCTACCTCCAGAGTGTGGCCAAATCCTTCATGTGGCCTCTGAAGTACCCAAGAATTCCTGTGCTCCTTACATGACACAAGAGCAGAGACTCCCTCCTGGCCATGGCAGCACAGACATGTGCTTGTGAAAGTTTATTTCTACACCTGCATTCACCTCCTCTCTCATCACTAGATCTCACAGAGCATTTGCTGAGGAACAGGAACAAAACCAGGCATGTCAATGGGATGCACAAGAGAAAAAGCACACCTGGGAAATATTTTTCCATCCTCTGCACAGACAAACCTTTCCATTAAAGCTTTGAATGTTATTTTGAAAGAATGAGAACCCAGCCAGATGATCTGCAGACTTGAAGAGGAAACATTGCACATACTTTTGACAGCAGCTACATCTCCCATCATTTGCTGTGTATTAATCCAGATATCCCTCTCGCTCCTTGAAATCCTCCTCTCCATCAGCTCAGGGCTGGCTGATCATACCTGTGGGCCTGAGTTAATCCTCCAGGGTTTGCAGTCCCTGCTTTCCTCCAGGTTACCCAGACACAGAGCATTTTCTCCAGTGTGGATCACGTCGCTGCTCCCTGCCCATGTGTCAGGGTCAGACCATGCACAGGAGCATCCTACATCTCACCCATCCCATGGGGCCAATGCTCCCGTGGGCATCACATCCCTCCTGCCCCCTCTGGAGACACCAGGAATAAGGATATATGAGATTCCCCCAGAGCCAGGGCAAGCAGAATCCTTCTCAGCCACCGTGGTGTCTGGCTGGTTCAGAAGGTGTTGGGCTGGTGGCAAATTCAACTCCCTGGAGGGGGTCCTGATGCTTTATCCATGGGAAGGCATTCATGGCAAAAATACATCCTTGAGTGAGGGGGCTGGGCAGGATGACGAGCCCTGAGCCAAATCCCTGCTGGGTCTTTGACAACTCCCCTTCCACCGAGCATCCTACGCCAGGAGCCTGCACCCACCACCCCAGACTTACCTCTGCTGTGGGGCACTGGCAGGATCCTGGGGAGCTGAGGGGAAGCTGGTGGGCGTCTGGGAAATGCTCTTTGGGGGCAGGAGGATTTAAGGGGGCTCCAGCCCCCACCCCGGGGCGGGCAGTGCCGGCAGGAATGTGCCCGGCGCCCAGCAAGGAATGCAACACTTGTGAGTTGCTATTTCGGCAGCCGTGGCCTCAGCCCCCTCCCCTGCTCCCCCTTTCCCCCCCAGGAGCCCATATAAGCCCAAGCTATTGTGTGGCCTCAGAGTTTTGCTATTTTAAACCCTCCAGACTGAGATACACGAGTGCCCGAGGGGCTGACACAAGCCAGGCAGCTGTCACTTCCAAGGGCCAGGGACACTGATAAGGCTCAGGGAGAGGGGCCTGGACCCTCCATCACAGCCCCTACCCGGTCTCCCTCGGCCACTGCACCACATCCGAGATGCTGCAATGAGAAAGGAAGAGCTTCAGGCTGCCTTTACCCTCCCAGGACACAGAGTTGTGGAGTGGCTGGGGTTGGAAGGGCCCTCTGAAGATCACCCAGTCCAACCCCCTTGCTAGAGCAGGATCCCCTAGAGCAGATCCCACAGGAACACACCCAGAGGGGTTGGGATGTCTCCAGAGAAGGAGACTCCAGCACCTCCCTGGGCAGCCTGTCCCAGGGCTCTGTTACTAACTTTTTGCTTTCTTTCCTCTTCTCAGAAGAAAGGAAGTGAACTGCTCCCAGTTCCAGCCCAAGAGAGGTGACCAGGAGCCTCTTAGAAATAGCAAGTTTTATTAGAATAAAACAAACAAACAAACAAGGGCACAGAGAAACCCAAGTTCTTCCCAAAGCCCAGCAAGCAGGAGCAGAGCCAAGGGCAGCAGTAGAGTCCCACACCAAACTTGGACACTGCAGTGGTTGCTCAAGGCACAGCCCAAGCCCATTGAATGGCTCCAACCAAGTATTTGAGCATCACTCTGTTGGCTGCCTGAACCCTGGAGCACCTGGTTCCCCTCCTGGGGAGGCTCAGCACCCCGGGAGGGTGAGACCAGGGGGTCTGCACAGCCACAGGCAAAGGGCCAGAGGGAAATGGGGTTTGTAGCAGGGGAACAGCACAGGGTGCTCAGCTCCATGAGACCCCCAAAGCAGGGCCATGGCCAGCCCACCTTTCCTGTGTCACTAAGTGAAAGGGATCACTGCTTGAAGGGGGCAGGGGACAGGAAGGACAGGGTGGAGAAGGCCAAGTCTCTGGCTCAGATGGAGGGAAGGTCCAGGGCCATCAGCTCTTCCATGAGGCAGCTCCAAGCTACACCAGCATGTGTGACTGTGCAAACAACATTTGCTTCTGGTTGGGGCCCTTCAGCAGTGGGGAGAGGGCTGTGACATCTCTCTGTCCCACCTGACCCC